TAGGGCTGGCTAAGGGGGAGGCAACAACGGAAAACTTTCAAAGCAGGGAAGTATCAGGCAGAAGAAGGGTCACTAGTGGACTTCCTCAAGGGTCATTTTAGAGGTGGGAATTTGCTGATAAACTGGCAGATTGGGACCAAAAAGAAATCGCTTATTGTGAAAACAGTAATAACAGAAGTGGAATGAAATTCTGGATTATAAAATGCACAGCTGGATGGCTGAGGAGTAGTACCAAAAAATTGAGCTGTAAAGTGGTTGTTCATCAATTGGAAACAGATGAGGAGCAGTGGGAGCCTGGTGTGGGTGTTGATTGCAGGCTCGTTAATGCACTGCTAATGTGATTCTGCCCTGAAATGGGCAAATGAAATCATAAAATGCATCGGTCAAGGTATTCCCTGTTGGTACAAAAAGAAAAAAAAAATCTAGGGTTTGTTATTAGGTCTGGCAAGACCTGATTAAGAGTATTACATACAAATTTCATCATCCATCCCTAGCAAAGAGGATCTGAAATGACAGAACTGCAGGGAAAACTGTTGAGATGAAAACAGGAATGAGTCCAAGCTTACAAAATAGAGATCCTAAGAGACAGGGTTGTTTTGTTTAGCCTAAGAAAGCAAATGCTTATAGGAGATCTGACTGCAACCTGTTGTTGTTTTGGTGATGTAAGCACCGACAAAGGAAATATTTATGCTCAAAATAGACTTGGCACAAGACAAAGTGATTATAAACTGTCCGTGCACAAATACAAACTGGAAATTAAGGGAAGGACCCCATAGCAGCGTGAGCCTAGAATAGCTTCCTCAACAGACAGCCCAAGAGGAAACAGGAATTCTTATTTTTAAGGTAGAGCTTATTTAGCATTTGATGGGAGACTCTGGTGCAGTGCTCAGAAGTGCCTTTCCAGCCCTGCATTTCCTCCTTCCCAAAGCATATCCCAGAACCACAAAAGCTGGGAGGTTTGAGGGTGACGGCCGAGTCAGTGAAATGCTTCTCGAGTCAGAGAGCAGCAAAACAAGTAACTCCTGCCTGGTAATAAAAC